CTTGGTTACATCGTCCTGGTTTATGCAAACTGCATCGGCCCATATGTACTGCCAGCAGTAACGACGCAGAGTGTAAAGGCAAGCCCAGAGATTAGGCTTGATACGGAGGGAGTGGCCATCTACGTGGATGGTCTCCGTCTGTGCATCGTTACCCCACGTGTACGAGATAGCGGTGTACTGCTGAGTCTGTGATGGAACAGCTTCTTTAAATTGGAAACGTAAGTCGCGATCGTAGGCTCCTTTCGTAACGGCCAGGAGGCGGAAGTCTCCACGGCGGAGGCTTCGATACGGCGAGCATATGGTCGTTACGGTGTTCAAGATCAACGTACGCCACAAAAATGGCCCTAGGTCGCTAACACAGAAGAGGTTGCGGATGGTGAGACGCTCATCAGGCTGACGGCTACATAGAGTGGCATTCCAGTCTCGACTAATAGTATTCGTCTTCGGATCTTCCAACCCGGAATGTATAGGGACCCTCAATTCCGCACTAATTCGGCAGAGATCTTTACTATATATCATTTTTATAGCATTCCCACCAATTTGATACTGTATGTCCTGTAGATCTCTCTTAAAGTTGTGTTGTCACTGCTAGAATGACCTCGCCGTTGCCTCTATTTGTATGGTAGTGCAATAAATTCAGCCTTACCATTCAGCCTCGTACACTACTGCCTGCATCCAGCCTTACTTAACCTTATGCGCCTCTTACGAGTCAGTAATCTGTCCCATCTCTTTTACTTCCTTATATACATAGCGTTCAAGCGTTCTTGCAAATTATTTAAGCCCAGTTTTTGTCGTAACAGTCACTGAGATGGGTAAGAGCATTTAAATAATACAAGGAATCACTGCACTGAGAGTTGATTTACCACTAACACTAACATTAAACTTTACTAACATAGGAATAGATCGGTCCACTTTTGTCTTAGCGTTGTACTGAATGAAAGTTGCGACGCGTCTAGAAGGGGAGGGCGGTTTCGGGAACGACTGTAATCAGATTCCTTACTCTGCGACGCACAATTCAAACGACACCCTACTGCACTGCCAGCTAAGGTAACGAGAAAATTTAGGCTGCAGCCTAAGGGCAGGGAATCTCCCAGGTTTTCTGACGCATATTCAAGTATGGATGTACGCATGTATGTATGCGAGTAGACATCTCCATCTCCATCCACACACGAGCATATGAATATCTGAATATCTGAATATATGGATGCACGTATGGATATATGAACACCCACCTCGAAAGCGGAATGGAGGCAAAACCTACAATTTCGGCCCCCTCTCATACTTCTTCCACAGACTCCGGGCCTTGAGCAGCGTGGGCCGGACGAACGTGTTATCCGTCAAGTCGCTGCGGCGGGCGACGTCGAGCAGGCCCTCGTAGGGCGTCTCAGAGGCGTGGGCGAAGACGCTGTTGAGCTCGAACTCGGTGAAGCCGAAGGCGGCGACGAGGGCGTCGGCGTAGCCGCCACAAGCGAAGCGGGCGATGGCCGTGGTGTGCGCGGCGCGGAGGGAGGAGACGTCGTCGGTCGTGAGGTACGGGGAGCCGGCGAAGGCGGAGAGGCCTTCGAGCATGGTCGTGAAGGAGAACTATTGTCGCCCAGAGACACACGGGAGGTGGTCATGGTTAGATGGGTAGTTCAGACTTTCGGCAGGGGGTTGGAGACACCTGTGGCCCTCTGGGAGAGAAAAGACTTACCACGTTCGCCAACGCCTCCATGGTTTCCCTGTCACTCCGGCCGCCGGCCGTCTGCTTGACCTGCGTCTGCAGGCCTCGCCAGTAAGTGAGGTCGGCGTGCGCCATGGTCAGCTCGAAAACGTCGTAGCTGGTGTCCTTGCCGGCCGCAACATCGGCGAGATGCCGTTGCGCGAGGACCGCCGCCCGGTGCTCGAGGAAGTCCTCTTGCACATCCCGGTTGAACCAGCCGTCGGCGCTAACGACGCGCAAGCGCTGCGACATGCGGCTGTTGTCTCTGAGACGGCCTAGGTACGAGAGGGCGGTGATGGACTTTTCGGATTTACTATGGCTCAAAAAGAAAAGAAGAAAAAGAAGTCAGTGGTTGGAGAACAAAGACATGTTCAATGATTCTCGTCTCGGGAGAAAGAATAGGGATGGGGACATGGAGATCGGTGGTCAATACTTTTTCCAGTGCTTCACAACGGCATTCCCAATCTGTTGCGAGAGGACGTAGGTCTCGCCTTCATATGTCCTCGACGGAGAGAGCTGTGCGTAGAGAGGACCGAGTCCCGTGCTGGCCATATTTCCTGATGCCAGTCTCTCAGCACTTTTGGATCGTCTGGGAACGGTGCCTACTTACCGTGTCCGCCGCAGGTGAGACGGGCAACCTCGACATCGCGGACGCCGTGCTCACTGGCCCAGATTTTTGCCCCGACGGTCTGCAGGTGCAGATCCTCAAGACTCTCGTTGACGATGTTGTCGATGCGGGCCCTCATCTCGCGACCAAGCAGCATCATAGCCACAGACTAGAGGCGTCCACAGGGGGTCAGCAACGAATGAATAGATAGTAAAGGTCCAGGCAAAGGGCAACCATCTCGTTATGGTAGAACTCACCCGTGCCAACGCGGGAAACAATCGATTCTGCACGCTGGCATACTCAATCACCCTCCTCTCCTGCCCGTCCTTGGGGTTGAACTGCCGACGGAACTGGGCATATTTCAAGGCGATGATGGCCGCCTTGGCCACCTCGGTGCCCAGCTCCTCGGACATCAGGCCCCGAATGATGACCATGGAGGTGTAGGAGTGCTTCGAGTTCTTGGCCGCGTGGTACGTGCCGTCGGCGTCCAGCGAGACCATGCCAGCTAGCATGTTGGCGCGGGGGATGCGGCAGTTGGTGAAGGCCATGACGCCGTTGTCCATCGAGGCGAAGGTGCCCATGCCCTTTTCGCCCTGCTCGTAGATGCGCACGTTGGGCATGAGGTCGTGGGTGTCGAGGTCGCGCACCTGGACGAGGAAGACGTGGTTGCCCAGGTCGCGTCCGCGGACGATCAGCCTCGCGATGACGAGGGCGTGCGTGGCCAGGATCCCCAGCGACCCGATCCAGTACTTGTGGCTCGACAGCGTGGGCGAGTTCACCACAATCTCGTCCGTCTTCGGGTCAAAGGTCGCTGTCGTCTCGATGCCCCGGACATTGCTCCCGTGGCCCAGCTCCGTCTGCGCGTAGCAACCACTGATCTCATACCGCTGAGCCTTGGGGAGCCAATATGCTTTCTGCTCGGGGCTCATCTGTGCCTCGAGGTTTCGGAGGAAGACTGCCAGGTGGCCATTGTGTAAGTATTAACTTTTCTCTCTCTCCCTTTCTCCCCCGCTCGCTGTCCCTTACAGCTCTCTATGCCCGTTTTTCTGTAGAGACTGACTTACTGCGATAATTCACCCCAATGGACAGCAGATCCCCCGCGATCTTGGTCGCATCGACAAACTGCTGATTCGACCAGCCGAGCTTAAACTTGAGGTCGAGCAGCTCCACGCTCTGCTGGAGGCGCAGCGTCCACAGATCCTTCCTCGACAGCCCATGCGTGTTCCGGGGTTGCGTGAAGATCGGGTTCTGGGTGATGGCGGCCAGGATCTCGCAGCGGCGCTTGAGCCTCTCCTCTCCCCAGAGAAAATTGGAGAGGGGACTCGTGCTGGGCGTGGTGGCGGCGGCCATTGTTCTTTTGGTTTTCTTTTGGTCGTCCCAACGAAGCTTTTCAACACGATGTATAACCCTCCGGAAGTACTCGTATGGAGTATCGTATCGTACTGTCCCCCGTCTTCTCTCCCCAAGACCTCTTTAAAGCCTCTTCGAAAAGCGCCGAGCCGAAAACGAAAACGCCGCCGCCGCCGCCCGGCAATGCGGCTCTCAACTGCCGAGGCAACACAATCGCGAGCTACACACAAATTGAGAGACCATGACAACTCCAACATCTGACATGGACACGCGGAGTCAAGGGACCTGTTCGAACTATCTCCTGATCTCACGCGACTAGCCTCGAAGGTGTGAGCGCACGGCGTCATGTTGTGTACTCGGTATGGGAAGAGAAACGCCGTCTGGTCAGCTGGAGCTACAACACAACATCGCCGAATATGACTACACGGAAGTCCTCGAATTAGGTATGAAAGATGCAGGAAAAGATTGAACAGATGGGGGAAAAGACCCGCGGCGCAGGGTGAGATGCATGATAGACTTAATCCACCACGGTCTCGACTCCATGTCGTCGCCTGCACAGCCTCGACGGACAAGTTACAACAAAACTCAGCCTCGCGCCAACTACCGAGGCGCGCACTAGAAGTATTGTTAACGCTAGCAATAGAATAACGAACTGATCGAAAGACGATAGACTTTATTTTCGTTGCCCCTATAATGGCCCTCGGAGATATTAACGCTCGATACTCGATGCCTACAGCGCGTACTAGCAGAGCAGGAGGGAATAAACAATAAGATCAGCTCCTCGAGTCATAGATAGCAAGGCAAGGCTAGTTGGGGAGAAATTCACATGTTTCATTGCTCTCTTTCGCACCTGATGTATGAATGCATCAACGATCATAGCTTGAACCCTTGGACGCACCCATATGAAATCCATGCCATCCAGCCCCTTCTAGCCGCAACAACCAGTAACATCGGCGGGCTCGGGCTTGTCTCTACGTCCGGGAAGTGTGTCCAATGTCAGTCAGTCAGCCAGTCTCTGCTGAACGCATAATATAAGACGAGGGACGGTGGAAAGAGGAATAGGAAATGGGATGGGATAACGGGCGAGGGGAAAGGAAGAAAGAATAAGGTGGCGGACAGTACTGACTTTGAGTCGATCAAGAGCTGGTCCCAGCTGAAGATGAAGCAGCCGAGAAAGCCGCCGATGACGATGCAGATGATGATGTACCCTATAAGCAGCACCAGGGTGTTAGCAGTTGTTCCGTCCTGGATTGCGCGGCCATTGGTTGTATGTCCAATATTCGGGCAGCGTACAGGGTGAGATACTCTATTTATACGGGGGGGGAGACAACAAGAGAAAGATCAAACGAATAGAAAAGATGTACCGTTATAATACATGGCCAGCAGCATGATAAAGTACGCGACTCCAAACTGCACCATGTGGATGAGCGAGCGGATGCACTGGCGTTGGAGGAGGGTCATTCCATCGACCACCGATCGTTGCGGACGACGAAGGAGAGGTCGTTCCGGGAGTGGCGGACTCATGCTCGTGTTCGTGGCTGTCTTCCTTCCAGGGTCCGCTTCCTGCTCGTATGAAGCACACGCCGCGTTCTCGCGATTTCGAACAGCGGCAGCCAGGGCGAAGGTTTTCTGGTCCTTGCGGCGGATCCAGCTGTCGTACTCCCGCTGGACGCGGCGTAGGAACTCGAGGGCGATGACGAGCAGAATGACGCCGATGCAGGAGAGGGCAAAGATACCATCCGAGCTGACCTGCCATGACTTGGAGATGAAGCCTAGGCACAAGAACGAAAGACCGATATATTCAGTACAGCGCCAGTACTGAGAGGAGAGATAAAGGTCGGACTTGACTCACAGGCTCCGACTGTATACCAGTTCCAGGTCATGGAGATCTTGCAAGAGCTGTCTCCCATGCTCATTCCGCCGGATGGTGATGCGGAGGCTGAAGACATCGACATAGAGGCAGAGGTAGGGGTCATGGACATGGACATTGTAGACATTTGCAGACTGTCTGGTGAGTGATTGTGTTGTATGTTGGTCCTCACAACGTAGAGTGAAATAATGTGAACCGTCAAAGAGAATCGAGTTCTTGTCAAGTAACAACTCCTTTTGGATGATCTTAAGAAAACGATCCGTACAAGAGAGATACCATCTTCCAATGCAAGCCAGCCAGCATAGTGCCCTTCTTCACCTGTGAGCAAGTTTCATCGTCCTGTGATTGGTCACCCTCTGCATGGTGAGCATGTATCTTGGGCCGCCCAATATCGGCGAAATCTGCTCGCCCGGCACAAGTGTCACTGGTGTCCAGTGTCTAGTTTCATCCAGAGCTCCTAGAGCAGACACGGTACATATGGACAGGCCACTTGCCGCACGACGAACCAGCTCAATGGCGGAGATGCAGTTTCTTGTCCCTCTCGCTCCTCACTTTCGGAAGACTCAGCCCCTTGGTGAGATCGTGGAAACTTGCGCGCATCTGCTCGGACCCTTCCCGGCCAGGCCCCAAGTGCAGGGAGTAAGGCTCGGAGCGATGCTCGCGCGACCAGGGCCGCGCAGACTTCTCATGTCGCTCGACATGGTACAACCGACCGTAGCCGACGAGGAGCAATGCCAGGACAACCAGCGCCGGTTTCGTGATCAGCATCAGACCGCCCATCAGAGCAATGGCCATGTAAACACAGTTTTCCTGTGGTACCTGTTTCCGGGATTCGGTCTTGGATAAGGCCAGATGAGGGTGGTGAGACCGCGGTTGGTTCTGCCCGAACATGGCGACTGGAGTTCGTTTCTCCTTGTCTTCTCTCTGCTTGTTTCTTTTATTGATGACAAGTTGTTATTATCACCTAGAAGTCCTACTCATCCGTTTGTGATTTACTTCTTGCAAAGCAGTCGACCAAGTCAGGATCAAAATGGGTTGTCTGTTCAGCGGAGCCGAGATTTAGTATTATTTCGAGTGCTCCGGAACCCCCGGCTGGATAATACACGAGTAAGCTTCCATTTGCATATCAAGGTGAATTCCGCGCAATGCGATTTTGTGCTCAGCTCATCCAGGGGAAGTCCCAAAATATGGACATGGGACTTTCCCTCCACAGGGCTCGACGGGGTATTCAGGGAGCTCTCGGCAACATCTGTTAGGGCATCACGGGCATTTCTGTCGTGTTTGAGCTCCGGCGAATTCGACCTCGTCCCGAATGTCTTGATGCGTTCCAGGTTACTGGTGAGACCAAACGAGCTTTTGTTACCCCACGACTAAATCACTTCCTATCCATCCTGCTTTGTCGGCACCATGCTGCAAAATGGCGGCGTCAACCGCCACGAAGCGCACGCGGGGCCATGCCGGTGGTGCTTAGTAAACGAGAACTGCTCGTTTAGTAGGATTTCAGGCCCTCGTGCCTAGATACGTTGTGCCCTTCCTGCCTTCTTTACCGATTGCAGCAGTTTGTTTTGTGGTGTATCCCTCGCATTCCTTCAGGATCGGCAAGACCCTTCCCGCTCCAGATTGATGTGTTTTTTTCCAGACGCGGTAACGACAACCAAGGAATCGGTCAGCCCGTAAACTAGGGCCTTCTCTGAGTATGCAGGGCATCTTCTCCGATGATCGCGCCTGAAAGGTCGGTAGTTAACAGTTATATGTCTGTCTCGGTAGGGTATAAAAGATTTATCTGGGAATTGAAATACCGTCCTTTGCATAGGAGTTCCGTTGTTGCAAATGAGGCTTCTGGTTCGACCTAAAATATACAGGAAGCCATGTCAAAAACAGCAATTCTTCTCACAGGAGCAAGCGGTGCACTGGGTTCTTCGACTCTCGCCCTCCTCGCGGCCAATTCCAACTTCGAGGTGATTGTTGTGCTTCGATCGCTCGCCCGATCTGAGGCAGCTTTCCGGTCCAGATATGCTTCACAGGTCTCGGAAGGCCGTCTGTCCTTCGTGGAGGTCTCGGATATGACCATCCCGGACACCTTCGACGAGCTAGCTAGCAAAGCTGATGCGATCATCCATATAGCCACCCCTCTGACGTATGACAATCTCATGGAGACGACGATCAAACCTAGCTGGGCCATTTTGCGCAATATCTTGAGCGCAGCGGACAAATCAGGGCGGGTGAGGAGGGTTGTCGTGACGGGGAGTATGGTCTCAACCATGCAGATGGGGGCCTTGTACTCTTGGGGGACCATATCAGCCGAGAGCTGGAGTCCTATCACCCTTGAAGAGGCCGTGCTGAACCCTCTCAATGCGTACCAGTACTCCAAGGTCTCGGCAGAGGAGAAGGCCTGGGAGTTCATGAAGGAGAAACCGCGGGCGTTCGACCTGGTGGTCTTGTTGGCGCCATCCATCACAGGAAAGAGTCTGCAGCCAGGTTTTAAACCCAACAAGAGCAATCTCGGGGGCCAGCCAGGGATTTACAAGGGCCTGTTCGACTGTGACGAGCCGGGCTTCCTGTTCCCATATTTCATGTTCGTGGCGCCCTCTTGATCCGCAACTGGTATCATCTAACCTTTGCTGACCTGCTGTCTCCCGCCTTTTCCAGGGACGTCGAGGATGTCGCCCGTGTTCACGTCCAGGCTCTTTCCCCTGGTATCCCAGGCAACGAACGATACATGTTTCACTCGCCCGAGCTGATGATGGCTGATGACATTGCTGGGGCCGTCCGAGAAGACTTCCCACATTTGAGACAGCGGGTTCCGGCTCCTCAACGAGGTGTCGATAGTGGGCTGTCGTCCAACCTGATCAAGACGGACATATCCAAGTTTGAGAAGGCGTTCGGCAGTCAGCAGTGGAAGTCGGCGAGGGATTCAGCCCGGGAGACCGTCGAGGACATCGTGGCCTACGAAGAGAGGTAGCGAACACGACAGGCCGGACAATAACTGGACGTTCAGGGAGGTTTGGAACCTGCAGAGGACGTTGATGAATTCAGTCAAATGCGATGGCGATGTAGATGACGGACGAGTGAAACAAAAGACATGGGAGCAGACACTGCAGGTCACAAGGACGGCGCTGGTCAAATCGATGCAGTACACAGGACATGTCATTGACGAACGACGAGTGACCACCAAACAAACAAGTGCGGGAATTTCTCAGTATGTTTTGAAATATTGGTATTTTTCTATTTCGAAATCTTCGAGCAACGACCCTATAATAACGCCATTTTCGTCCTGTTCGCTGAACGCTGAGACGCCGCCACGAGGCAAACAAGCAAGGGAATTATGCTGAATCATGCAAACAGGGATTAATCGTCGCGGCGGCAACAGCAGCAGCGCGACAGCGCAGCACAGCAGTAGCAAAAGCAAGCAACAGACAGCAATTTTGCATTTGCATTTATGTACAAATACCAGGTTCGATATTCGATAATTCGATATTTCAGGCCTTGACAAAGCTCCATTCCTCCAATTTCTTGACCGTCTTGACACATCTGCCCTCCACTTCCCTCGTCCAGACGTCGGCCGCCCACAAGGACAGCGAGAGGGTGATTATCCAGCCGATGAGCATGGTCCCGGTCCATACGAGATCGGTGGTGTCGACGCCCTGCACGCCCATAGACCACCATATCCGGTGGGGGATCATGTATCCGACCGCGTGCATGATGGGGCCGTGGACCAGGTAGAGGGCAAAACTGATCTTGCCCAAGTATTGCGGTACGCTGCTGTTGAGAATGCGTCGCCAGATCGAAGTGTCGGGGTCGGCGCGGGCGAGAAGCAAGAGCAGCAGGCCGGTGCCAATGTTCGGGTAGAACTTGTCCTTGCGCTCCATCCACGCAGGAATGAGCTTGTTAAGCGTCATATAGCCTGGAGCGTAGTCTCTTGAGCCATCAATCGGATAGGACAACAAGTAGAAGGCCAGCAAAAACCCTAGGACTCGAAGAGCGCGTAAACCTGCCTTGGGAGGGGTCGAGACGTAATCGGACCAGGTAGGAGGCGGCTTGTAGTCAGGCTTGGGTGAGTGAGGCGGCGACGGAGGTAGTCGGTCTGGAACCAGCGTGAGTTTCTTTTCCTGCTCGCGTTCGGTGAGAAGGAGGTCAATTTGTGCCACGACGGCCCCGATAATGTACACCCAGATCTCCCAATGGTTCCATAAGAAAAACATGACCGTCATCACACATAATCCTGCCAGTCGCACGTATTTCTTGCATTGTGCGGTGCCGATCAAGATCAGGTACAGAAAGATGGAGCCCTTCAATTCCGCCAGAATGGACCACAAATGCTGATCATGATAAGGGTAGACAGCGCCGTGAGTAAAGATGTTTGTCAAGTCGAACATTTCGCGGGCCCAATAGCTCATCTGTCGATAATAGCTCGCAAACTTTTCGGGCTTTGGTTCGTTCCAGACACCGGGAAAGAGTTTGCCATGGTCCGTGATGTAGCCTCGATTTCCTTCGTAGAAGCCAAAATGGATGTAGTGCGCCGTGATGAGGGTGATGATGAAGACGGGGAGGTAGAGCCTGAATGCTCGACGGAACAGAGCCCCCGACACATTAAGTAGGACCTTGGCCTGCGAGGTCTGATCGCGTTTGTCGAGAAGCTGGAACAACCGTAGAGAGGACAAATAACCCGCAATCCCGAAGAAGACGTGAGCCGTGAAGCCGGCATAGAAATATCGGATGATGGGGAGCTCCAGGACATAATGGTGGCGATCGTTGGTGCCCCAGGGCGCGAAGCCAATGTCGCTGAATGCCATTATCCAGTGGAAGGTAAAGACCTTGATCGAGGTGATGCCTCGTAGGCCATTGAGATAGCTGGTGGGGAATTGCTTGGACTTGGAAGCATGATCATTCCAGTATCGAGATCGCGCAATTTGAGGGACGAAGCAATAGGCAAATCGTTTGCTGGCTTTGTAGAGACTGGCAGGTCGGGCGTGCGACAGGGCAGTGGAGAGCATTCGCTCGGGCACCTGTCGAAGAGATCTAGAGGAGAAGTCATGGCGGGGAGCAGTGTCCGTATCCGTGTCCGTGTCTAGGAAGACATCTCTTTCCTCCTTCATGAGAGGCTGTCGGAGGGTCTGAAGCTCGTGTTGACTCATGGTGCTATCATTGGTATGGTATGTTCGCTTGCCTGGATTGCGTTATTCTGAGAACCGGGGTCGCTGAGGGCTGAGGGCCTGTCTAAAGTGTCTAGCAAGTGTCTAGCAGTGTTTTGAGGACGGGGTATTGGAGTGGTACGAAATGAAATAATGGGTGCCCAGGTGGTTCTGGGTGGGTGGCGTCAAAGGAAAGGATAAAGGCGCGCCCGCGCCCCTGAACAGGTCCGCCTTGCCCTGAATTAGGTTCCTAACAAGAATGAACGATCAAAGGAGAGTTCATCAAAAGACAAGTAGGAGAAGAAAAAGAGTGTACGGAGTAACAATCAGTCCACAGCCATGGAGAGGACGGTGGGTTGGACACGCCGGATACGATGGCCTTGGGGTGCCAGTGCAATCGAGGCTTGAAATCACGACATTTGTCTTGGATGGTTTGGAAGATTCAGCCCAAGACCATAAGGGGTTTCTTGGAACGCCCCTGTTACTCTGTTCCGCGGCTTACTATTTGCTCGCGTGCTTGTCCGGCGCCTCGCACCAGCCTGATGAGGCTGAACTGCAACATTTCTAGACATTGAGTGGCAGAGGATGGACTCCAGTGGATGGCTTCTCCCTGCATTAGCCTCCGCTTGGCACCTTGCTAGCCGCCAATTACCGAAACCGCCAATGCTGCCAACCCTGACCATCAAGACCAGGGAAATTGTCCCATCCAGCCATCCGAGGCTGTGGTGGGGGCGATAAGCGTGGCGAGCGTGTTAGATTTTCGTGTCTAGCCCCCCCTAAACTTGTTCGGCTACGGGCCAATTCTTGTGTCCAAGTCCTTGTCGCAGATACCGAGAACAAGTATATAGCCAAGGGACTTGTCCAAGTTGGCAGCACCACCTGTTTGGTATAGGGCATGCACTCCTCCTACCTCCCGTAGCTATACGAGTACGAGAGAGGTACTTTGATACAAAGTTATGCACTCCAAGCACTAGGATGTCACATGTTACCACAATGTGCACAAATTGTTATGCCGGAAAGTGCCATCCAGTCACGTGTTGACGCTAGTGACATTTGGAGGCTGGTGTCCGGAAAATACTTTTTCCAAACCCCCTCCATCACGTGGGTATCTGAGAAGCGATAAGCGGGAAAAAAAAAAAAAAGAAAAAATCCACTGGTACAGAGCGCCTCACCCCCACTCTTTCTGCAGTCTTTCTCTACCCTTGCGTTCCATCTACCACGCTCTGGACCAGTCGAGTGACGACTTGATCTGCGCTTCACCCGCTACTCAACCAATCCAACACACATCGTTTCGGTCACCACCGATCACCAGATGCAACCATGCCAAAAAGACCCTACAAAATGGTTTTCCGTGCCTTTTCGTCCTCTGCTCTTCTTTCTTCCCATCGCCCTTTAGGCATTCTCAAACCCCCATCTTCCACAGCGAGCGACTTCGGGAGTTTTGCGCTCGCTTCTCGACATAAAGCTCCAATTTGACCACTGCCTCCCAATAGCGAACCTCTTTTCAAGAGCCAGGCACCATGAGCGATTCTAAGGATGTCAAGGTCATCCGCGCTTCCAGCGTCGACCTTGGCCGCGATTATGGCACCGGGTCCTCCAGCTCTCGTTCCCCCATCGAGCATGGACATCCTGAGATCATTGAAGCGAGTCCCGAACGTGGTACCACTGCCGTTGGTGACGATGAAACAGGTGGACTTAAGAAACAGTCGTGGCGTTCCAAGTTTGCCTTCTTCAAGACCAAGGACTTTTGGCTCATTTTGTTTCTGGGACAGATACTGGCTATCTGCATTACTGGTACAAACACTTTGACAAGCTTGTTGGCGGCTGAGGGAACCAGCATCCCCGCCTTCCAGACCCTGTTCAATTACGTATTGCTTAATTTCGTCTACACGGGTTACACCCTGTACAAATATGGCTTCAAGAAGTGGTCGCGAATGGTCCTCAAGGATGGTTGGAAATGTATGCTTCTTCAATACATTGTCATGTTGAGCCGCTCAAGGACTAACCGCAGAACTATAGATATCATTCTTGCTTTCTTCGACGTCGAGGGCAACTACTTCACTGTACTTGCCTACCGCTACACCACCATTCTATCGGCCCAATTGATCAACTTCTGGGCTATTGTTGTTGTGGTCGTCATCTCCTTCATCTTCCTCCGTGTGCGATACCACTGGGCTCAAGTTCTCGGTATTTTTGTATGCATTGGTGGAATGGGACTTTTACTGGCCTCTGACCACATCACCGGCTCCAATGGCGGGGACGTCTCTTCCGGCAACCAGCTCAAGGGTGACCTGTTTGCGCTGTTGGGCGCGACCTTCTACGGCTTGTGCAACGTCTATGAGGAGTGGTTTGTGTCGGGCAGGCCCCTCTATGAAGTGATCGGCCAGCTTGGCTTTTGGGCCACCATCATCAATGGCGCACAAGCCGGTATCTTCGACCGCCACTCTTTCCACACCGCAACCTGGAACAGTAAAGTTGGAGGCTATTTGACAGGCTATACCCTCATTCTGTTCGTTTTCTACACCCTCGTTCCCATCCTTTATCGCTTCGCCAGCGCAGCGTTCCAAAACATCTCCCTTTTGACAGGAAACTTTTGGGGTGTGATTATCGGTCTACGGGTGTTCCATCTCCACGTGCATTGGTTGTATCCCATTGCATTTACACTGATTATGATCGGCCACTTTGTGTATTACTTTGGAAAGGGCGTGATGGGAGAGGCGGCGAAGGCGTGGCTGGGCGAGAACCAGGAGAAAGGTATTGATGGCTTCGGGAGCGCGAAGAGGAAGCTCCGAATGATGCAGGAGAACACAGCGGGGACCAGGGGTGGCGA